AGAGAGAGAGAGAGAATTAAACTTTCGAATCTTTAATTAGGCTCACAGTCGATTTCTAATCGATCGTTGACTGTTCGAGAGGGGAGGGGAGGGGAGGGGAATTTTAAAAGTAACGCGCGCGCTGTATAACGATCACGCTTATTATATATAATCGTGAATTCATCGCAGTATCCATATATTCATTGCACGTTTCGATTCGATGTCCAAATGAATATTAGGTAGATACGCGACGCGAAAAGCTGATTATTAATTTTATTCGAGATTTTATTTATTTTATTTTTTTTTTGTTTTTGTTGAATTAATTCGGTTTAACGTGTTTGAATTAAAATCCTTTTTTTTTTTCTTTCTTTCTTTTTTACGAGTAATTTAATAAAATATAAAAATACACGTAACGCGTATTAAAGTGTAAAAATACGTAAAATATTTAAATATATAAAGTAATGATATGCTTATTGATAATGTTTAAGAATGATGATGATATTAATTTTTTATTTAAATTTCATTTAATCATACATCATATTTATGAAAATATTAATTTGCATAAACATGTACAGTTTAATTATAATAATTACATGATAACAGCGTGCATATAATTACAACGTACATAATTACAATATAATGATACTAATTCTCGAAAGATAAGAAATTACGTTCAATTTACGTTGTCGTTAGGAACTTTCTTAAAAATATTTTCTTATAGATATTTAAAAACGTTATTATTATATATATATATTTATATATGTTTAAAATGTTATTATAGATATTTTATTTCAGTATAGAATAATAATAAAAAGTAGAGACATAGAATATATTTATCGTATAAGAAATGTTATTATAGCATTTACTATACACTACATATTCGAAAATCGATCGAAAAAGAAGAATGAAAAACTTTTTAATAGAAAATTTCTATATTTTATAAAATTCCAAGGATCGAAACTTAATAAGCGAAAATTCCTTTTTAAACTAACTCCACATATTTAACATTCGTATTTATTCGAATGTTTCGTAACCAACTTGCGAGAGAACAGCCCCCCATTTTCTTGTACACCAATTTTTCCAATTTTTCCCTATAAAAAAATTTACAATATAAAACGTCTAAAATTTCCTGCACACTTTCCCTTTTCCACTTCTCTATAGAATCGACCTATAATCCTTCCGTACACCGATATATCAAACACTCTTTACGACTCTTTGCACGTGAAATTAGGACGCATATCTAGTATTTAATCCCGAGAAACAGCGAGAATCGTAAAGTGTGCGCTATCATTTTAGACTAATTCGAGAGAAAAAAAAGGGATAAACGCGTGTGTATGTAAATAGAGCAGAGAAGGTCGAGCGGGGTAAGGGAGCACTCGTACAGTCATCGAGCTGGTCGGCAAGGTGGAAAGGCGTGCGACGCGTGTCCCAGACGGACGGCGCGCCGTATCAAAGGATATTTGCCCTGTCAACAACGCGCGGCTTTATGTGGAAACACCACCGCGTCTAAAAGGGAAAAAAAAAAAAGAAGGAAGAAAAAAAAAAAACGAATTACTCCGGCCAAGATAATAGTAATGGCCGTTATTACTTCGCTCTATTATTTTACGATCTAACGTCGCCCCGGGATCGATACGATATCTCGTGCTCTCCTCTGCTTGGGAATCGATCCGCAAACACGCTACGTATTATTATTATTATTATTATTATTATTCGCCCGAGAGAAAATTAATTTTCTCGAATCGAGGTAATGGGTTATCTGGGTCGATCTTTGGCGGGATTTGGCGATGGATCGATCATTCAATAGAATTTATATGAAAAAGGAAATATCCGAAGCGTCGTATGAAGAATAAGATGATAAAATTTTATTTATCTAAGATCTCCATCTCTTTGAACGTGATCGTAATAATATTTTATCTTAGTGTATTAATTACTAGGTATATCGGATTAATGGTAGTTTCTATCCAATAGTATGGTAAAAATATATGGAAATACGAAATTACGTTGATGGAATAACATTCATACGACATATATATATATATATAGTTATAATTATTAATCAAACGTGTCGGATTACTGGATTCCGGATTAATGGAATTTTAATAGAAACTGTAAATATTCGAGAAATTTATCATTAAATTTACCACAAACTTGATGCCACCTCCGTACGATCGCTTATATTCAAATCGCGCGATTTTCCCTCTTTCGTTTGCATTATTGACTAACTTCCCTCGAAGAATTCTCTCCCTCGCCGCAAAGCCGAGAAAACGCGTGAAAAAAAATTTCGCCAAATTCAAATACGAGGAACGATAATCAAACGAAAATAAGTGAAAATCGTGTCGTGAACCAAAAAAAAAAAAAAAGAAGAAGAAGAAACAAATGGAAAATCTCACCTGCATCTGCAACCAGGAGTAATCGATGTAGGTGGTGGTGGCGGTCGCGGCGGCGGTAACAGCGCCGACCACGTTCGAAGCGGAGGATATCTGCTGCCAGTTGTCCTGGCCGGTACAACCAAGTACCGGCAATCCGTCGGGTTGACCCCGATCCGGTACTATCTGATCGGCATACTGATAGGGTTGCTGAATCGTCGGCTGTCCGCCGGAGGGCAAACTCGCTGGATGAGGGTGCTGGGCCCCCGAGCCGGCACTAGCGGGCAAACAGCACACGCTCACGTCCATCCGTGGTGGCGGAGAATCGTAGAAACGTTGCTTCTCCGGCTCTAACTCTAGCTCCAACACCGACTCCAACTCTGGCACCGACTTCGAACACGATTCTGTCTCTGGCTTTGCCTCTAACTGCTCCCAAATTGGCCTCGCCACGTCCAACCCCCTTCGAACCATCCAATTTTCAAAATTATTCTCCCCCTCTTCGTCTTTTCACGATTCCCAACGCCGAAGCTACTTCTTCTTTATATATATATATATGTATATATATCTTTAAATATCCGTTTCGCTCCTCCTTCCTTATCGATCCTGCCCACCACGACTGTATCCACTCTCACTATCGAATTTCGTGTTGCAGGTGGTCGCTACGATCCAAGCGTAGAAAATCCTTCGAATAATCCTCCTTTTCCCGACCGATTTCGAGGAATCGGCGAAACGGTGGCTCTATCCCCGCCTCGTTCTATCGAATTATCGTTCTTCCACGATTCTTCCAGGCTGGCCGGAATATCTGTCAGTATCGTTACCCTTGCGCCTTCCTCCTGGACTAGCATGCTCCGCAATTATTGTCGAGTCGAATTTCGTATCGAGTTGGATGCCAAGCATCCAAGCTGTGGATCGCCGAATTTTATTCGGCCGAAACATAAACTTTTTCACCCTCTTTTCGCCCTCTACGTTGAACGGGATACGCGAATCGGACAGTCGAACGATCGTTCCGAGCGGTCATTTTTTCGCGATGCGTTGTTCGTTTCTATTGCGCCATCGTTCGACGAGGAGGAGGGGGAGGGGGTCGTTGATCTCGATCAAAATCTCCACGGTGTCATATCTTCTTTCCTTTTATGTTTAATCCTCTTTTGAAACTCGGGGAAAGGGAAGAGAATCTTAGGATTCGAGGAATATCAATCCTATTATTTGATTTGAAAGTAGAGAGCAAATGTGGCGCGTCCCAGAGGCAACGAGTAATCGTATCGAGCGACTCCGAGAAATTCCATGTTTTCGGGGGAAACGTTCTTCTCGAGAAAAAAGAGGGGGAAAAAAAACAAAGAAGATTGTTGCGACTTCTTCTCGTCAAAATTTTTCACCGTTCATTCCGTATCTTCTTCCCTTTCTCTCTCTCTCTCTTTACGAGACTCGTTTGTTATTTTTTCTAATCGATCAATCGCGGTTATCGATGGAAATTAAATCGAGATCAACATCGAAACGAAGCTTTCACAATTTATCACACGTGATCGGGCGTCATGCTTTCCGAGAGAAACGAAAACATCGTCGACCTGCCGCTGTTCTTTCCAACGCTAAGGTACAGCGGCAGGTTTCGCGACGATAGCAAAACATTGAACGCACTCTGCGATCCGTCGACTAACTAATATTCTTATCGATCGATCGACCTGCCGATGAGCAGTGGCAGGTTGTCCGTTTTAACGATGACACAATGATTTTTCGCAGGTTCACAGTTGCGAGCACGAATCACGGTATATACGTTCACGGTCACCATAAATCGACGATCAAATCGATCGATCGCATATCGAGATCCTTCCTTCCCCCCTTTTCGATACTCCTTCTTCTCGAGTTTCCTCTTCCCAATTCTTATCGTCGTGGCGGCATGACATTCGCACTCGTCCCGTCGAGATCTCAAGAACGTGTAGCGGATGATAAACGGGCGGCTCGACACAAAATGACAAATAGAGCATCGAATAGTTGCGAATCGAATGGAACAACCAACACTCGAAGAGTATATTATATGTTATATCGCCGCACTTGTGCACCAACAATTCGAAACTATTTGCCAGTTATCCTCGGGAGAAAAGATACGTAGTAAAAATCACTATGATACGACGAGGCGAGTTACAGGGAACGAAACATTGGCGGGTGGATCGCGAATTATCGACGAGAAACAGTCCGATACGGTCGAGCCTTATCACAAGCACCGTCGACGCATGACAACCAGGCGCTCGTAGTAACGATACGCGAACCGCGTAGAAGGAAGAGGAAGAGGTGGAGAATGCGACAGCGTAGGAGAGGGAAAACGAGCAGCAGGAGGAGGAAACGGAGGTGGAGATGAAGCTGGAGGTGAAGGTGGAGGTGGTAGTGATGGAGGTAATGGAGGTGGTGGCGGCGGTGGTGGTGGTGATGATGATGAGGTTGGGGAAGGAGAAAACGGAAGAATCGAAGGTCGGTGCTATGCAATCACCGAAAACTAGAGGGTAATCTCGAGATGGAGTGGTAATTACCCTTTCGAACCGTTCGTGTCAAAATTTGATAATGAAATGCAACCGATTATCACACCGACGAGATTACGACGAGAATATGCATCGATATACATCTGACGATAATACTACAATAGTAATATTCGTGATCTCTTTTCCGTGCAATGTCCCTCCGTCTCTATCTAATCACCGGATGAGCAAAATAATATGAAAATAGATTGCGAATGAAATCAGAAGAGGCAATCAAGGTGGATGCAAATGATAAGGAGAAAACGATAGACCCGGAAGCAACGATAACAACATCGAAAATGGTCTGACGCGGCGGTCTGACGTGGCAGAGTGTCACCAATAGTGATGATGACAATAGCAATAATAATAATAATAATGATGATGATGATGATAATAATAATAATAGCACTAACGATGAGAGGAAAGAAAAACACGAGCGACGACGAGCAATAGCGGGTCGAAGGCAGCAATGGGGTAAATGATGGCGCCGATAGTGGTTGTTTCAGAAGCCAGTAGAAGAGGTGGTGGTGGAAAGATGGTAATAGTGGTGAAGGTGAGAGGGTGGTGAACGCAACTGGTGCTCGTGACGCGATCGTGGTGCACCCGTGGCATCGCATACGCGCATGCGCGAATGCGTGTCGTCAAGGCAACGGTTCCGGAGTAACTGCCCGGTGAACGCAGCCCTCCACAGACCATGCTCCCGGCTCTCTCCTCCTCTCGCTTTCGGCTCTTCTCTCTATCTCTTCTCCCCTCCCGCGGCCCAACGTCACTCGATCTCTGTTTTTGTCGTCAACACGCTCGCTCGTTTTCCCTGTTTCTTACCCTCGCGTCAACTTTTGCCTTTTGCTTATGGCTGGTTCACGCCCAAGGCGCGACCGATTCCAACTGTCTAGGTGGCCATCAAACACGCCCCCCCCTCCCATTCTCTCCCTCTCTATCTGTTCGTTCGTTCATCATTGTCGAGCCAATGAACACTTCTTTCTCTACATCCTTACATGTATCCGCCCCCTTTATTCGTTATTCCAACTTTCCTCTCAACTTCTTCCAGTTTCCGCGTATATCGCGCGCAACTCCGTTTTCCATTTCACTCGAATCAAGAGCGCGATTATTCTAATTCTAAACTGTCAACGATTTTCTCACCGATCGCGTCACTCGTCGATCCCGTTTTCGCTCCTCTTTACCTCTGTGCGTGTTATTTATTCCGATTTAATTCGATGCTTTCGTTCAAACAAAATATTTGGCTGATGTGTAAATAAAAACAAGAAGAGATATTTTCAATATTTTCGCCGATATTCTTCTCGTTTGTTAATACAACGATGATACAAGATTTCTTATTCGATTTTTGGAATTTAATAATGCTAGAACGCCTAAAACGAACGCGAACGTGAATACAACAGAGAAATTTTGTTTTTTTTTTTTTTTTTTTTTTATTTCTTCGAGTCCCGTTGCGCTCCTTGCAGTCGCGCGATCCTTTGGTGTGTCTCTCCATCTCCTTCTCTCGATCTTCTCTCGTTAGAGAACGGGAACGGCCATAGCCATTCCGCCAACGCTTGTCTGACGTCATCGCACTAAGGCTACTAACGTGTCTCATCTCGTCTCGTCTCTTGTTGCGTATACGATCCGTTGTTGTGTGATGATTCTTGCAAGTTTTGATGTTCCAAAAAAAATATTGTTTTAATCTTGCTTGCAATGTATGCAAGAGCAAAGAAGAAAAAAAAAAGAAAAAAAAGAAACGTCGTTCCTTTCCAATTCGATCCGATTTCGTTCATCTAAGAAAGAAAATAGTTCTCCATCCGAGAAAAAAGAATGATTTGATACAGGATGAAGATGTTGATGAAGAAGATTCTTTGATCTTGAAAATTGTCAACGCTGAATCTGAAATCCCATTAAAATTTGGCGAAAAGGGGGGAAAAAAGGAGATATATTTTGTAGGACTACTTGTATGCAGCAACAGGCATCTCGAATCTCTCCCCTCCCACGGAACCAAGAGATTCCCTTTCTCTTTAGATTGTGAAACGATTTTCTATCGTGGCGCTTTAGCTTTGCGGATTTATTATATATGCAACGGGTTACGCAAATTACGACAAAGTGCAAATATTTCACATGACCTGCACCTGCATGACTCCCCCTTTCTACGCGCGATCATTTAAACCAAGCGGACACGTAAATTGCAATCAGCAATCATCTCGAAACCATGAATCGTTACGAATCGTTTTCTGCATTGTAAATACGTGAACAATATCTGAATTCGAACATTCGATCGATATTCAATAAAGTTTAAGCGAATTTTTCCTTGCTTTTTTTCTTTTTTTTTTTTTTTTGTAAATACGTGTACTTACAGTAGGTATAATATAAGCGGAGAGAATTCGTCGATTTTGATCGATGATTGCTCTTATGATTTACATTCAAATTAATCGCTCATTTCAAATCGACCTCCATTCCAGAATCATGATTCACCTTTCATCCTTCTCTTCCTCTTTTCTTGTGTCTTCAATGTATGTAGCCAGTGAAGCGCAAAAATCAAATACGCAAGAGTTACGTATTTGTATTGAGTTAAATAGATTGGATGAACACGAATACTAAGAAATTATTCCGACAATGCATATTATAATTTATTAAACAAATCTTTTTTTATTAAACATTTTAATTCATAATAAAAATTTTAAAAATGGAAAAAATATTCAGTCTCTCTGATCCAACGTTCGTCTCTCTATTCACCGTGTTATACTTTTTGTCAAGAACAAACTAACTAACAAATCATATTGAAAAAGATTGGTAGATCTTGAATAAGTAATTGAACTTCAAGTAACTGTAAAGTAACTAAGTAAAAGATAACAGAAAAAAAAGGAAGAGAAAAAAGAGAGAGTCAGAAACGATGATAAACGCATAATAAGATACAAAAAAGAAGAAAGTGGAAGAAATGTGATGAGATCAGTGAATAAGTGCATGTTGATAAGTATCGATTCCCAAGATTATATAAGTCTTTATATTACATGTGCATACTATATAATAATAAAAGTTGGACAACAATTATCAGGATGATCTACAACATAAGTGGTCAATAATCATCTTCATCATTGAAAATGTGATTTCCTTTGATACACCACGAAACAAACTTGATCTGTTTATTTCAACTCTCCTTTTCTATATTTGACAAAATGCACAGGGAATTTTTGAGAGTACTGGTCGAGCTATAATCGGAATTAAGATTCTATTATTTCATAAATACTCTGTTTCGATTTTCGAATAGTTATTCAACTTTTACTGTACTTCTCGTTATAGTATATATTGAGCTAGAATTCTGTGTTGCATCACAGACGAGACCCCCCACTATTAGCTACGGAAGCAACGCTACTTATGAATGGGAGTATTCGCCCATTGGCCGTCTTCGATAGCCAATGGCTGGCTGCATGCAGCCCTCTGCGCGATTCTCAGTGAGCTCGTAAGCCGTGCGAATTCTCGTAAATTAACCATTTATTAGATTAATTTATAATTAATAAATATGATACTACAAACATGATAACGTTTCGATTAAATGATTCTCAATTACATTACAATAACGTTTACATGGAAATCATGAGAATGAATAATAAAAGATAGAGATACGAGAATTCGAAAATTGTTCATTGAATTAAAATTAAAAAAAATCAGTAGAAAGATTTCTGCTTACACAAATGAAAAAGTAAGGCAAATCAATTTTTCACTGTATTTTCGAGAATTGAACGTTTAATACAATATTAAACTTAAATATATTTATACATTTCAAATAGGTATTTATTTAAGAGTATTTATTATACTCTTATTATGTTTCTTCTTTGTGAGAACACTTTTCTTTTGAAATAAAATAATAATTATCATTCGATAAATCGTAATCTATAAACTTTTTTTGCCGAACATTCTATATTATGTTTAATGAAAATCTTTTATACGCGTTCTCAAATATTTGAGTACATATAAATTTACTTATATCTTCAATATCTTCAATATGTTAAAAAATAAAAGCTTTGCATTTTTATTGTGAGTTTAAGTTATTCATTTTTATCATTCATTAAATATCATTATTAAAATTGTTCAATTTTTTGTTTCCTTGCAAAGGAAAAAAATGTAATTATGATAAATTCGTAAAGCACAAATGATTTTATCGATTTTTTTCTAGTTTCGTGATCAAAATATAACAATATATTACCGCTTAGCAAGATATATTGTTGCTTAGAATATAACAATAAGAATAAACAAAATGAATTTCCAATTCATTTTTTCACTTATTTTCTTTTTTATTTTATTCGTATTTCTCATACTTAGATTTCATAATAAAAAAGTAATAAATGTAAAAACAATTATCAAGTATGTGAAAATAAATATGACGATTATGAAGATTGATATCAAGCTTATATTCCATTATTTCATAATTACCTTTGCTTTTTTCTATTAGAAATTATGTTTTTCAATTGCCTTATGTTAGAATTGACATTTGTAACAGTATAATCTTCAACTTGGTCTTCTACTTATATTATACTTCTTTTCTTATTTATATTTTTTCGATATATAAAATCATTCACATCTGCTAAAAACTTATTGCTGTAGAGATCGAATAATCTTTGCATTATAACTACTTTAATTAAAATTAATACCTTTTTTTTTTTTTTCTTTTAAAATTTAAGAAAGAAAAATTGTACATATCTTTGTTATATACGTAAAGAATAATATTTTAAAAGCATAATTCTCTAAATTTTAACTTGCATTTATATTTAAATATAAATAAATATATATGTACACATAAACAACAATCGTTTTCAATTTTATCTGCATTTATTATAATAATCAGAATTCGTTACAATTCGTTATTTATTTTATCCAATTTTTTTATGCATTTGAAATAAAAAAATAATTAAATTTTATAATAAAATAGAAAAGAATATTCGAACAGAATATTCTTGATATATATTCGTGATATATATGATATAATATCACATACATTAATAATATATTTATTAATTTGATTCTGAAGCAGAAAAGAAAATACATGCTTTTTTTAATTGTATTATTACAATTTTTATCATGAAATTAATAAATAATATATAATAAAAATATCCACTTTGATGGAAATCAATATATTAATGT